TAGGACAGTGGTTATGGTGCAGGCCACATGCATGGAGGCTCGGAGTTTGAACCTGGCCCAGGCCAGATCAACAACAACAATTGCGCCAGAAAAATAAAAAAAGCCAGTGCTGTGTGGTGGGCGCCTGTAGTCTCAGCTACTTGGGAGGTTGAGGCAAGAGAATTGCTTAAGCCCAAGAGTTGGAGGTTGCTGTGAGCTGTGACGTCACAGCACTCTACCGAGGGTGACATAATGAGACTGTCTCAAAAGAAAAAGAAGAACTTTCCCCAAAGACCCCAGGAAATTGCTCTTCTCATTGGCCCAGACTGCGTCTTGACCATTGCCAACCAATAATTGTGACAGGGAAGGGGATTATGCTATTTATTTAGGTTGGAATTGTGCTAATTTGCTTAGACTGGAACCACAGTCTTCGTAGGTGGCCAGAGCAGGGATGTAACTAGGAACAGGGAGTGTTTACCAAGATAAGTGGGAATGGAATGTTGGGGATGCTAGGCTACCACAGGAGCTAGCATAAGGTCCTGCTGCAGGCAATACAATGCCATGGAAACTTCCACTCCCAAGCTACAATTGCTTTCTCCCACTGGATAGTTCTGGTTATCTGGGGGTTTCCATTCGTGGGACTTAACCAACCGCATTAGGCTTAACATGTTTGTGTCTGTACTTTCTGTACTTAACATGTACATTTTTTTCTTGTCATTATTCCCTAAACAATTCAGTATAATTACTATTTATATTGTACTGGATATAGTAACCAATCTAGGAATGATTAAATTATCCGGGAGAATATGTCATCTCATATAAGGGACTTGAGCATCTTTGACAATCCCGGGGAGTCCTATAACCGATTTCCTACAGATATAAAGAGATGCTTGTAATAAGTACAGTAATGGCATATTTGTAGCTGAATCTACCTCTGTTTCCATCCAAGTTCAGGATCCAGAGGCTCCGTCTTTCCAAGCTATTGCCCTCAGGCGCCCGCAGCTTCCTTCCATTCGTTACTTTGGATGTGGATGTGTCTTTCTTCCGTGTTTCTTCTGCTCGGGCCTTTAGACAACCTTACTGCGCTCACTGACGCAAAACAATCAAAACATTGGCTGCCATCCACTAAGACATTACTTCCATCCTAGAACTGAAAAAATTGAGATTTAATTATTTGCTACTTTGGGGCTTCTTTCAGACGAAGGTCAGAACTTGTTCACCAAGGTAGTCGCTGTGACAGAACCTCACTGGGCTGTTAAAGGAAGACACTTGGCTTGATCTTTTTCTAAGAACTTGTCCCACTGTACAATTCTGTGGCTCCGATTGGGATTCAGGTGGGAGATGACTGCAGACGTGGGGGCTTGGGTGAGTGGAATGTTTGAAAGCCTGAAGTCTCAAGCCACACTTTGTGTGGTTTGAGGGAGGTTTTGCCTTTCTCCGCATTCTCCTCAGCACTGAAGTTGACGAACCACACCTGCTCCAACAGCAGCCCAGGTGGCGGGTCTGCCTTCTGCAGGCGCCCAGCTTCCGCACCAAGGGCAGCCCAACGTCCCCGGGCCGGAACCTCCGGGCTCAGCTGAGCCGGGTGTCCAGCGTCCAGAGTGACTTGCGCGGGAACGGCAGCTTTTAGTGCTCTGCGGCCTCCGGATGGGAGCCTGGCTGACCGGTCCAGATACGCCTACAGCTGCGTCTCAGCCGCTCTCCTATCGGGCCCGAGACCCAGCGAGACCAGCACGAGGAGGCGCCACGGTGCACGCCACCCCGCTCCCAGCGGGCCTGGAGGAGGCGTCCCCGGCGGGCGGCCCGGCCC